GACTTAAAAATATGTGGATATTACTGCTGTAGAATAAATGTTAGGTTTCCGAAATTCACAGCATAAATTGTTGTAAATGTTAAAATTGTACCCAGCATATATATAAAAAAAATATATAAAATATAAAATGTACACTATAGTCGCCAAAAAAACATTTGCTTAATGAAACAGTTTTGGTGTGTTAATCATGCCTCTGAAGTCTTACTGCTTAATTCTCTGCCATTTACTAGTTAGATTACTTTTGTTTATGTAGCCCTAGCCACTCCTCCCCTGGCTGTGACTCACAGCCTGCATGGGAAAAAAATGGGTTTTATTTTCAATAAGATGTAACTTCCTTTAAAAGTTCTTGTCTCCTGCTCCATAAGTTAAACTTTATTCACGCACTGGAGACTGCTGCAGGGTCTATCAAACTTATTAACAGCGCAGGAGATTAGAAATTCTAAAATAAAGAAATTTGCAATAAAAGATGTGTAAACATTAGATGACTCACTTTAGAGGAAGTGTTTAGGAAGGCAATTTAAGTCACATGCAGGGAGGCGTGCATTGGGCTGCCTAAGCAAATTGATTTAACGCCTAAATCGCAGAGAAATTGAGCAGTGAGACTGCATGGGCATGATCTATACACCAAAACTGCTTCATTATGCTTTAGTTGATTTTGTGACTATAGTGTCCTTTTATGTTTTAAGAATTGATGTAGGAATGTAACTATCATCGAGGAGAAAAGGTTAACTTGGACCCAAGTAATTTTTCATCCTATGTAATTATGCATTATATGTGTGATAAACTGAATTTTTCTTATTGGTCTACAAATTATAGTAGGCAAAACTTTAACTACTACATTTTTTAAAGTCTATTATTAGTTGTCTTGGTAATAGCCCGTAGATGAGTGACATGCTTGAAAGAAACATGTTTTGATAGCAGATAAGAAACCATTGGTTTTTCTAACCTACAAACATTCTCTGCACGGTGAGCACAGATGGAACATTTGCTCTCATCTCCTTCTCAGCAGGATTGGTTATGTCTGTGAACAGTTGTCTTGTTTTATATTGTATCATTTTCTAGAATAGGTTGGACTAATGAACAATAGTCATTTTAACCAAGCTAAAATTTCAACACATGCATTGCACATGCTGCCTTCTGTTGACCTTTGTTTAGTTTAAATCTCATTGCGTTAGTTGGAGGTTAGATAAACATTACACCTTCTAAAGTCCTCATTAAGATAAGAAATAACTTTCAGTATCTAGCTGGCCTCATAAACCAATTTATACTAGGAAAAGGATGACTTCTGCCAGTTTGGTAAGGTTATCTATTGTATTGATTTATGGCTCTGCGTGCACCATCAAGAGTGAGACAGCATCCACAAAAGTAATTTTCTTTTGAGTTTTTAGTTTTCCAGAATACAAGAATTAAATGTCCTGAAATGGCACCACCTATATTGGTCGCTACTAAACGTCACAATGACTAATATAATTAAAATGGATATAGTGAGTTACAATGGTAGGAAAAATAAATCCTGCTAGATGGTAAGTAAGCCCATGATTAACATGTCGCTCTAAGGTTATAACTTGAATTTTAAAATTGCTGAATGGGACACAAAACGATAGATAAATCAGTATAGGTATCACTGGCTGCCCAGTGAGAGAACCAGGGCGTACGGTTTGCCTCAATAGTCAGACATTGATGGGGAAGGAGAGCCCCAATGTCAGGGTAAAACTGTTTAACCCCTGAAGGCAAGATGGTACTTGGACACTCCTGTCCCAATAACCAACTAGTTGTTTACAGTCCGAAACTGTTTTATCGCTTCTACCTGCATGTATTCGATCGCCATGGATGCATCTCTCCTTTCCTTTTACTGGCATGTTTTCAAAGAGAACCCAGATTCCTATGAAATTAGAGGCAGTTCAGCCATTTGTAAATCCTGTTGTGCTTGTTGCTGCATGCTTGTGTGAGAAGTTTGTTTGCTTTTGTGGAATGCCAAGTAGTTGCGCATATCCGAGTGTGTCCCCTCTTTACAGCGAGTGCTTTCGAGGGTCCTTGGCAACATTGATTATTCACTACACTGGGACTATATATCTTGGATTTGCACAATTAAAACTAATTAAAGGCTAGAAGCCTAGTTGTCTCTGGATTTTTCCAGTTCAGCATTTCACGCTAATATCTTGAATTGCTGGGCCAGTTCCTAACATTTCACAGCTTTGTGAATAACCCTGAATGATTGCCAGTGTGAAAACCAGCCATTTGTTCTTGCTAATCTGAGACCTGTCATTGCCACACTTACATAAAGCTGAACATCTGTGCTCATTACATGTCACACTTTTTTTTTTTTTTTGGTCACCTTTCTATGTGCTAATGTGAGTTTGTGTTTGATAGAACTTAAAGGAACATTGTGACATTATAAATATTTTTTTTATGTTGGTGTATTTTCTTTTAAAGGTTGGATTAAATTTAAGACCGGCCATTTAGTACTGCAGGTCTGTAGTGCATACGTGATCGTTGCTTTGCGCCTACAGTCCAGTGCTTCTGAGATGCATGAGCAGCATTTGATGTAGTCATGCTATGCGTGATGAGGCTCAGCGTTGAGTCCTTCCAAAATCTGCCTTACGGAGGAAGTGGCTTTAGTGGTTGGCTGTTGGACAGCCAATCGAGACTTGCTTTTTAACTAATACAAGCATTTCCACATTTCCGGTATGGCAATATTTTTGCATTGTCTGAATAAATATATAGCATCTATATACCAAAATCACTATGCAACGGTGAAGGTTGTGGTTGTTTTTTTTTGTTTTTGTTTTTTTTGTCTGTGTCCCTTTTTAAAGTAAATTTTTAAAACCACATTTAAACTTGTCTGTAATCCAGTGCTGGGACAGATTCCCTAGTGTACCTGATTATCAAGCCTGATGACCTGTGTACTGTTAAATTCTTCTCATTGCACAACAATCACCACAAACCGTCAATCAACCATCTACGAAAAGCATTGAATCCACTGCTTTTCTATCAGAAGCACGAGACGCAGACTCTGTGTACGTTGTATGTGTACAATATGTTGACTTATATGAATTTGTTCTTTTTAGTTTTACTTTTTGAATCTGAAGCTTCTACTTGCTGTCAGCACTTTTTTATTTGCAAGACTAGAGGGCTAGTATCTATATTCCAAAATCACCCTATTGAGTTTACATTTTCTAAATAATGAAGTTAAGTTAATGGACATGCAGCTGAAAAAAAGATATGTGGAATATAGCTGCATTTCAGAACGTTTCCTTCTTTTATTTTTCCAATTTTGTGACATTCGTTCTTCTGTGTACACCAGGGGTAGTCAACCTGGTCCATACAACCCACTAGCTGGCAGTTTGGGATTTCAGGTGGGTGGTGGTGGGTTCTGAAGAAAACACCCAGTGGGTCTCGATGGCCATGGATTAAGGCCGGCAGGGGAGATTCTTTCATCTTCCCTGACGGCCCATGCAGAGCCAGCCTTGTTGTAACCCTCTCGGGCTGGTGAGGAGATTAAAGATCTCCTCCTGACTTTAGCTGAAGGCTAGCGTGAACATGCCACCACTGGACTACCAGGGCTTGCAGCATTATGTCCCCACTCCCTGGTAAAAGGTAAGAAGGGAGACGGAGACATTAAGATAGGTTTTCCCATCTCACCCACCTTGCACGGCATAGGCAACCTTCGGCACTCCAGATGTTTTGGCCTACACATCCTATCATGCTTTGCGAGCATTATGAGGGATGTAGTACACATCTGGAGTGCTGAAGGTTGCCTATTCCTGGCATAAACCCTATGCACCTTTCACACGCACTATCACCCCCACACCACACCACACCCTTCATACACAAACACATACAGATCCTCACAGACACTCATAGAAAAAAAGGTTTTTCTAAAAGAATAGAGAAATTTAAGTACAAAAAACCTCTTTGAACTATAAAATTTAACTGGCACCATTGGGCGGTAATGAAAAATTACCATCAACAAAGATACAAAAGTGGGTGGTAGGTATTAAAAAAGGTTGAACTCCCCTGGTGGACACCATCATCACTGCACAGATTTTACCATTGGTTGCTTTTTTGCAAATTGTAGTTTATTTTATATTTCTCTTAGTTTTTCTATCTGGAATTATGAGTTATTGCAAGTTGCTGCATATCATGAAAAATGTGTTACGCTGGCCAAACTTAATTGAAGTAAACACAACTCTTATTATCGTGCAGCATAGTTGCATTCGTGCATTTTGCAACTGTTTCTCATAATTCTCTGTGGTAGGAGTTTGAGCACAGTTTCTGCATTAAGAACTCTAGGGATTGCTGGTTATTAAAGCGGCACTGTCAATGCCAGGAGACTTTGCAGAATTTGCAAAGACCCCCAACAGCGACATTGCAGCTGGTGGCAGGTAAAGGTAAGATTTTACTTACCTAAACCTGTCCCTCGTGGGTGCGGCCATCTTCCTCTGGGTGATACTTAATGCTGTACTCTAATGCCCGAGAGTACATCATTGAGGTCTATGGAAGATTTCGCAAGATCGCTGAATCCTCAATTGACAGCCAATTTGTCTATGGTGATGGCTGTCAGGATTGACACTGTAGCTCCTCCCAAAGTCAGGCAAATCGTACAGATGCAAAGTCACACTTTGTCTGGGTTAGAATTTTAGTGAAATTTCAACAGTCAAAATGAGTATTTCATAAAGATTTTTTTTTTACTTTTATGAAATGCTATTTTATTTTTTGGGATGGTTAGGGAGTTGACAGCGACACTTTCAATGTTTGTCAATCAGCCTTTTCTGTGCCCATGGCTGACATACATCACCAAGTGACAATCAGCCAGGTCTGACCATGAAGCAGATGACCTCAAAAGTGGCTGAGAGGTATAAACATCAGGGTTAACTGGGAAAACTTAGCCACTTCCTTGTCTCTGCAGACCTTGTTAATTTGCCAAAAATGTAGATTTGCAGGGATAAATCCTAGTTAACAGTAATAATTAAAACTTCTATATGGGGATGTTCTTTAGGGACTGAATAGAACCTTTTTTGTTGTTTGTTTCCAGGCTATTTTGTCATATTTCTTCTTTGTTTTGCAGCTTATTGGCATTTTTGGATAGCTGGATGTAACCAGTGGTAACCTGTATATCTGGCATGTAACTGTAAGCGAAACGTGTAACACTGCAGAATGGCAGCACAGAAGATTCGGTCCGCCAATGCTAATGGCCTTCCACGCTGCAAGTCTGAGGGCACCCTGATTGATTTTAGTAGTGGAATTCCTGATCCTAATTTAAATGAAGTCAAAAGTAAGTTCGGTTTCAACATGATTAAAGCGGAACTGTCCATGTCCTCCATTTTAACCTTAACTAATCGCTAACTAACAGTTAACTATTGGTTATGCTAAAATTCTTTTTTCATTTGTTCTTTTATTTTATTTAAATTGACATACATTTGGCATTTCTCATTTCAATACCTGTGGCATCCCTAAAATTGTGAGCAGGACACTGTGTAGTATTGAAATACATTAACAAATGTTTATACGCATCTGCCCTGTCACAGGAACTTACAATTGACTTTACATAAATTATACCGTGTGTGTATATGTGTCTCGCTCTTTCTCGCTCTTTCTCGCTCTTTCTCGCTCTTTCTCGCTCTTTCTCGCTCTTTCTCGCTCTCTCTCGCTCTCTCTCGCTCTCTCTCGCTCTCTCTCGCTCTCTCTCGCTCTCTCTCGCTCTGTCTCGCTCTCTCTCGCTCTTTGTCTCGCTCTCGCTCTGTCTCGCTCTTTGTCTCGCTCTTTGTCTCGCTCTTTGTCTCGCTCTTTGTCTCGCTCTTTGTCTCGCTCTCGCTCTTTGTCTCGCTCTCGCTCTTTGTCTCTCTCTCGCTCTTTGTCTCTCTCTCGCTCTTTGTCGCTCTCGCTCTTTGTCGCTCTCGCTCTTTGTCTCTCTCGCTCTTTGTCTCTCTCGCTCTTTGTCTCTCTCGCTCTCTCTCTCGCTCTCTCTCTCGCTCTCTCGCTCTCGCTCTCGCTCTCTCTCTCGCTCTCTCTCTCGCTCGCTCTCTCTCTCTCTCTCTCTCTCTCTCTCTCGCTCTCTCGCTCTCTCGCTCTCTCGCGCTCTCGCGCTCTCGCGCTCTCGCGCTCTCGCGCTCTCGCTCTCTCGCTCTCTCGCTCTCTCGCTCTCTCGCTCTCTCGCGCTCTCGCGCTCTCGCGCTCTCGCTCTCTCTCTCCCCCCCCGCTCTCCTCCTCTACCCCTTGGTGACTTTGACCAGTTCCAAGGACATCTGTAAAGTGCACACGGGCCTCTACATTTATACAAACAACAGTGCTCTAAATCCAACCTTCCTCGTCCTCTTTCCTGTGTCTTTCCCATGTTTTGTGTGTATCAAACTACCTGATGACCTAATTCTCAACATGCTTGTTTGGTCTCTGTTTATACATACACAGTCCTAAGACTACAATAAACATACATGGCTTAAATGGAAATTTGTTTTGTAAAAAGATTGTTATCCTTAACCGTTGTTATATTTTGAGTTCCAGTGTTCTGGTAAAGGGTTATGTTTGTATATGTTTTGTACTTTTCATTGGGTATAACTGGCACAACTAAAATGCACTGGCTGCAAATGTTTGAAACTTTACCACTACCTGATATCTCTTGTTTTCTTTCATTTAAATAGATAAGGTCTTTTGGATAACTTGATTTTGTGAATAAAGCCATCTTGTGGCCATTGTATGAACTATGCTCTATAGTGAACACAATTAGGGCTATTCACTCACTAAAGTGTGAATTTCGAATTTTAGTTCAAAATCACTGAATTGAAAATTTTCTCCTTTCTGGCCTAAAATCTGAAAATCACATTGAATTTCAGACATTTCACAATTTAGTGAATAGCCCTAATAGAATTTAGATCTTTGCAATTAATTTTTTTTTTTTTCTCCCTTTCAACTCTGTAGTATTGTCGCCGAGCTCCCTGCTCATTGATGGCCCTGCATCCCTAGAGCATGTGAAAGAAGTGGTGGCTATCAAAGACTATTGTCCCAACAATTTCACCACTCTGAAGTTTTCCAAGGGAGAGCACCTATATGTATTGGATGCCTCTGGGGGTGATTGGTGGTATGCACACAATACCACAGAGATGGGATATATCCCTTCTTCTTATGTGCAGCCCCTTAACTACCGTGACTCCTCCCTCAGTGACAGTGGAATGATTGATGGATTGCTGGAGAGTGTAGATGAGGGTGTGAAGGAGCTGGATCTGCTTGGAGACTGGAATGATATTCACAACCAAAACTCTAACAAAACTTATCACAACAATCCCTTTCTGCGACCATCTATTTCTAACCCCTTTCTGAATGGACCATTGAATGCCCCCAAAAATGAAGCTTCTGATACCAGGAGTTCAGTGGATTTACTTCTTTTTGATCCACTTGTTACTTTAAACTCCACATCTTCGGAAGCTAGCACGGATATATTTATAGATTTACAACCTCAAGCCACACACACAGAAGTAATGAAAGAATATGCTCCTGTGAGGAGGGATAACCCATTCTTCCGGAGCAAGCGTTCTTACAGCCTCTCCGAGCTGTCCGTCCTCCAGGCCAAATCTGATAGTCCGGCCACGGGCAGTTTCTTTGCTGGCCTGAAATCTCCAGCGCCTGAGCAGTTCCAGAGCAGGGAGGACTTCCGTACTGCGTGGCTCAACCATCGCAAACTAGCCCGGTCCTGCCATGATCTGGACATGCTGGGTCAGAATCCTGGTTGGGGTCAGACACAGCCTGTGGAGACCAGCATTGTCTGCAGGCTGGACAGCTCGGGGGGTGCCGTGCAGCTGCCGGACACAAACATTAGTATCCTAGTACCCGAGAGTCATGTGGCTCCTGCGGAGACCCAACAGATCTCCATTAAAGCATTGCTTGATCCACCTCTTGAACTAAGTAATGACAAATGTACCACAGTCAGCCCTGTGTTGGAAATTAAGCTTAGTAACCTGGAGGTGCAGAGCCCCCTCACCTTGGAAATGAAGGTATCAGTCGATTTGCCCAATACAGTGACACAGAATGTGGTAAAAATAACCTGCCTGAGGAGTGATGTTAAGGAAGGGCCCTACACTCTAGTGCCACAGTCATACATGTATGGGGACACAGTCCAAGTGAAGTTAGAAAACCTGGAACCTGTTATGTACATGGTTATGGTAGCTCAAGGACAGCGCATTGTTTCTCCATCCACTGTGTGGGACTATATTAACAAAAAGGTCACTGTGGGACTTTATGGCCCCAAACACATACATCCTTCATTTAAAGCTGTAGTGGCAATATTTGGTCATGACTGTGCCCCAAAAACGCTCCTAGTCAGTGAGGTAGGTCAGCAAGTAAGTTTTTCTGCTCCAGTGACCCTTCAGCTATGGGGGAAGCAGCAGTTTGTTCTCCCCAGACCTCAGGATTTGAAAATTTGCCTTTTCTCCAACATGACAAACTACAGAGTCGATACTGAAGACCAAGGGAAAATGGTACGTGGGTTCCAACTTAAATTGGGCAAGGTGAGCCGGCTTATTTTCCCCATCAATTGCCAAGATCCAGCACAGTTATCAGACTTTACTGTCAGAGTGCAAGTTAGAGACGAGTTGGGGAACATCTTGTCTCAGTTCTGTGTGCAAACTCCTCAACCACCTCCAAAAACTGGGCAAAAATCCTCAGGGCCTAGAAGGTTCCTTAAGAAAAAAGAGGTTTGCAAGATTGTACTTTCTCCACTTGCAGTCACTTGTAAGTATCCAACCTTCCAGACACGCCCAATAACCAACATGAAATATGGAAAACTCTTGAAAACTGTGGTGAGGCAAAGCAAAAATCCGTACCTGCTGGAGTACAAGAAAGGAGATGTAGTCGGTCTCCTAAGTGAGGAGAAGATCAGGCTAAAGGGGCAACTGTGGACCAAGGAGTGGTACATTGGATATTACCAGGGTAAGGTGGGCCTGATACATGTAAAGAATGTTCTTGTCGTTGGTAAAATAAAGCCAAGTTACTTCTCTGGAAATGAACTGACAACAAGCTCTCTGCTGGAGCAGATTCTTCGCCCCTGCAAGTTCTTAACCTACATTTATGCCTCTGTGAGAACTCTCCTTATGGAAAACATTGGCAGCTGGCGTGCCTTTGCAGATGCTCTGGGTTACGGAAGCCGTCCACTATCTTTTTTTTGCCGGGTGGAGCTAGAGAGCGAGCCAGAAAGGGTGGCATCTGTACTGGAAAAACTGAAAGAGGAGTGTAATAATAATGAAAGCAAAGATCGGAAGTCATTCCAGAAAGAATTAATTGGGGTAAGACACCTACTCGTCGTTCATGTATGCCAAGTGTTTTGCAGTCTGTTTGTGCTCTAGTTAGTTATTGTGGGTACGAGGATTTTGGAACTGTGGTATTTGTTGATAATGATTGCTCTTTCAGTATGTGTCTTGTCCTCTAGAATAGTGAGACGTAATTGCAATTTTGTTACATGCTCCCATAAAAATGTCAATGTCATGTTTTCCCACCACACCCTTGGTTTATAGAGCATCTTTACTAACACAGAAGAAGTGAGACAGTTGGGTTTTTGTTTTGTTTTTTGTTGTTTTTTGTTTTGTATATACATCTCGTCTGACAAGCATATAAGTGAGGAAAAACTTAGTTTAAAAGTAATTTGTGTGCTATATTTCATTATAGTAGAAACCGGATGTTCAAATAAGTTGGATGGGGAGAGAAGTATTTATTTATTTATTTATTACTGAACCGGTCATGGTGTAGAGCTGAAATTTCATCTACACGTTTCATCCTGGCAAATGTGTATATTTTAAAAGCTTGTGGTCCCTTGCCATCTGTCAGTCTATTATCAGCATAAATGGATGCCAATGGCATAGAGGCTGAGAGAGTAGGAGCCCACTGCCATTCTCCTACTCTGTCAGTGTTTTCTTCCAGCGAGCAACTATCATGCTTGTGAAATAATATAGGAACAATGTCACTCAGCTCATACACCGGTGCTCTGGCAGTGAAAAAGGAATTGCTATGCATGAGTAGAGTAAAGCAGGACATGGAGCTAGGCTGCTACTGCTTGTTATCAGTACATCTCCATCTCAACTTGTTGCAATGATGCAAAATGCGTTTGTGATATCACACCAATATGCTGCATCAGTTATAGTACCAGCTTTGAAGGAACTTTGCCGATTGTAAGTAACAGAAACACAGCTTAATCCTGGCAGGGACAGGCCACTCTGGCACATGTGCATCATGTGTCTTAAAATAACCAGTTTATATTCTAAGAATACTAAAATATCTAGCTGCCTCTCTGCTGACCAGGAGAGAGGGGGTGTGGTCTTTTTCATATGGTGTCTCCGTGGCTTTATTGAATGTAATTTCATGTTTGCTTGTTCTGTTTTTTAAAAATAAACTTAACTTGAAAACGGGGGAGCCAAAACAAACAAATAAATAAATAAACTAGCTTCTTTCCAAACAATATCAAATATGTGTGCAAGTTCTCCTATTGACCTGATCATAAAGGCTGAACTTCTGTGTTAATTAAAAGTGCCTTAAAGGACCACTATAGTGCCAGGAAAACATACTCGTTTTCCTGGCACTATAGTGCCCTGAGGGTGCCCCCACCCTCAGGGACCCCCTCCCGCCAGGCTCTGGAAGGGGGAAAGGGTTAAAAACGTACCCTTTTCCAGCGCTGGGCGGGGAGCTCTCTGCCTCCTCTCCTCCTCCGTTCCTCCTCCTGGGCTGAATGCGCACGCGCAGCAAGAGCTGCGCGCGCATTCAGCCCGTCGCATAGGAAAGCATTTACAATGCTTTCCTATGGACGCTTGCGTGCTCTCACTGTGATTTTCACAGTGAGAAGCACGCAAGCGCCTCTAGTGGCTGTCAATGTGACAGCCACTAGAGGATTAGGGGGAAGGCTTAACCCATTCATAAACATAGCAGTTTCTCTGAAACTGCTATGTTTATAAAAAAAATGGGTTAACCCTAGAAGGACCTGGCACCCAGACCACTTCATTAAGCTGAAGTGGTCTGGGTGCCTAGAGTGGTCCTTTAAATTTTCCATTTGTGATTTGCTGAGGCTGTATGGCATGTGTGTATGTGTCTCTATATATCGATCTCATTTTTGTTACATTAAATTTTACTTACAATGGCATTGAGATAGGTTTATTATTTGTGCTTAGAGGCCCCTATGTAATTCATGTTTGGAGGTCCCCTATCTCAATACCGTTGTAAATAAATGCTTAGAGGTTGAAGTCTGGGAGTAACTGTAATTTATTGAAACATTTCTTTGAACACAGTGTTGTTAAATTTACCTGTGGACATGTTTGAATAGTAATTGTGACAGAACAATAGATAAATTCGTATTTACTCGAATCTAATGCGCTTTTCAATTGTTTGAAGATACTACTATACGACATTGTGCTACAGGGAAAATGTTTATTGCCATACACCATAGTAACATTGATAGTATTTCAATTTTAGTGTGACATGCTAAGTCTATTCTTTCTTAAGCCCTCTTTCAGGAAAAAATTTCCGGAATGCAATTTGCCAGAAAATTTTGAATTTCCCCTGCAAATTTTGAAAACTTTATATTTTCAAAAAAGGTGTGCATTAGATTGAAGTAAATACGGTATACACCAGTCTGTTCTCCAATGTTAATTTCATGTACTCGGGTTTTTCTTTAGGCCTTGCTGAAAATAGACTGCCAAGGTCTAGTGGTGCGTCTCATTCAGGATTTTGTTCTACTTACTACGGCGGTGGAAGTTGCTCAAAGGTGGAGGGAACTAGCCGAGAAGCTTGCAAAGGTGTCCAAACAACAAATGGATGGCTATGAAGCCCCACATAAAGACCGAAATGGGGTGCTGGATAGTGAGGTAAGGGGTGTTTAGAGGAATGTTTATAAATGAGCAGTAAACAATAGCATCTATAAATAATTTGTCAGATGTAGTTACTTGCAGCCTTCTTAGTAAGATGAATGTGTCTGGGTGCTTTGGAGATTAATTGATTTTTAATTTTTTTGTGTATTTGCATGTTTTACTTTTAAAACGTAACTGCAACCACCATGACCACTTCAGTGATATGAAGTAGTCCTGTGGTAGGAGTCTGCATGTGTGCTGTTTGTGCTTGAAACATACAGAAAAATCTGCACTTTTGTGCCAGAGGTTATTTACACCCCCTGCACATGTGAGTTAGGCAGCCTGGAACCCTATTCTGGGCTGCCTAATCTCAATCCTCTGCACCTTACAATCACAATGACACTACAGTAATTGTGATTGGCATAGTGTTAGAAGTCTATGGGGCAGTCCTGCACTTTTGTGAAACATTGCACTTTGACAAAAGCTGGGATTTGTCACCCAACTTGGCGAGAGGCTGCAAGTGCTGAGGTTTGCACAGCAGATATTTCAACTATCATAGCGGTTTGTGTGAGAGGGTATCGCTTTCCACAAACTGTAGTTATCACACTATCCATGTGACAGCAGAAGTAGGGGGTGCAGGTTTCAGGTGCTTTCTCATCCTACTAACCCAGAATAGTTCTAAAGAAAAATAAAATAAAAATGGTTGTGGTATATAATGCAAAATTTCTATGGGCGAATTCACCATTACATCACATTGCAGTTTTTATAGAGTGCCCATTTAAACTGCATACACACTGAGGAAAAAAAAAAAAGCAAAATCATGACCGGTACTGCTTAACCCTCATATTCAAGAGCACTTTTAGTGTTTTATGGAAGGTTTTTTGTTTGTTTTGTATAATTTTTGTTTTGGTTTTTTTGTATGGTGGGTTGTGGTGTAGGGGTTTTAAAAATGTTTTTTTTTTTTTATTTGAGTAATTTCTGCACTATGTTATTATCGTAAAAAAATGTATTTATAGAGAGCAGCTCTGTCATGATCCATTCATTTTTCACTAAAATATTTTTGCCCATTTTTAATCTTGTTTACATAACACTTAGTGCAGTTTGAGTGACACAAAGGGCACAATGTATACAAATAACCATTTCTCCCCTCTCTGCTTGTCATGCAGGCCATGTGGAAGCCAGCTTATGACTTTCTCTTGACTTGGAGCGCCCAAATAGGGGACAGTTACCGGGATGTGATTCAAGAGCTGCATAATGGGCTGGACAAAATGCGCAATCCAATCACCAAGCGATGGAAACATCTCACTGGAACTCTAATCCTTGTGAATTCCTTGGAAATTCTTCGAGCCATGGCATTTAGCACACACGAAGAGGAGGATTGCATCATTTGATTGCAGAGCCTAAGAAAGACTGGACATTCTGCATTAGCCTCTGATGTAAAACCTTTTTTTAAGAGTTTTCCAATGCTTCAAAGAATGGGAGACAGTTTTGCATCTACGCTACAATTCAAACGTTTAACTTTAGTTTCTTCACTGCCAAAGGGTCCAAGATAAGACTGACCTAGTTCTATTTGGAACGTCATTCCTGGAATCCACTGCACTGGATGGCAGTAATCTGCATATATGTATAGTGTAAATAAATGTGGTCATAGGCCAAAGGCAGGGAGCTGGATGCATAATGTAACCAGTCCTTTCAACAGACTGTTTTGTTTGTGTTTTTTTTTTTTCTTCTTTTTTTCTTTTGGCCTTGAGTTCCTGACAAGCACAAATATATATATATATATATATATATATATATATATATATATATATATATTTTTTTTTTCTTCTTCTTCTTGAGGTAGGAATAGTGTTTAGCTTCAGTGTGTTACATTTTTATATGACTTTTATCAAACTATTTTTATTTATCTCTCGACTAACAAACTCGTGTGTGTACATAATAGAGAATATTTGTTTTATGTAAGGCCTATGTGGTTACGCATATAACATTTACAGGACAATCTGTTACGTGTGCCTGTTTTAAAGCAATAATGTGGTCTTGGAATGGTTTCTCCTGCAGCGTTATCGAACATACAATGCTCTGTAACCAAGCGCCATATTCTCCGTTTCCCTCATAACCGAATGAGGCCCCTACATATCTTTACTTTCCATGGGGTGCCTGTGTGTTGTCCGTGCCTTATTCCTGTTCAATTTGCATGGCGCACTGACTTTTTTTTCATGTTAAAGGCAGGCAGGGCTTTTTGCAAACACTCTCGCAGTCTTGTCACCAAATTATGTGTAAAGTTTCAAATGTGCACATGCAATGACAATCAGGCACGCATGTAACATAAGAGGAGAAAGAGGGCTTAATCTGTTTTTCTATATTTAATATTTTTATTTCTAAGAATTGTTTTCTAACTACCTCGCATCCATTCACCATAACAGTCTAATAAAAGTCTAAGGTCAAAGCAATGGGCTGTGGTGTCAATTCTCTTTTGTAATTGTTTGGTTCTGTGTTTTAATCCCTTTTGTGAAAGAATGAAAATCTGGCATTTAAAGGGTTAAGTGGTGTCTCCCGTTCTCTTTGTAGACTAATAGACATGTAACCATCTTAACACTGCCGCAACTTGCCATTAAACTATTACTTGATGGGAATGCAAAGTGAATTTCAAATTTTAGTCCATTATAGCCAGATTGGACAAAAATTTGAGAAACACAAATGGTTCTCTATATAACAGAGCACCTGAGTGCAGAGACCACAGCGGTCTGCAAAATTAAGCAGTCACAAAGCAGCTACAGTCTTCATTGGAGCATGGAAGAGAACCACTCCAAAATAGCTTTTTTTTTTTTTTTTTGTGTGTGTGTATAATGTGTTTGGGTAATCAAAGGAAAACCTAGGGGACGGGGGGGGGGGGGATGCACACAATCCGAATGTTCACCTTTACTCATGTCCTTAATGGTTTTTGTGGGTTAATGGAAGTTAATCCAATCACAAATGTTCCCAGAACATTAGACTAGGGTTTTTTTTTTTGTGTGTTTAATACTAAACCTGTGCACTTCTTGCACTGTGTACATAGAGGTGCTGATATTGTATTACTGTACTTGTTCATTGCAAGGACAGATAGTGAGATTATGCATGTAATATTTATTAATCTATCAATATAAAATAGTTGTCACCATAAGAAAACCGTTTTACAAACGGACCACCCTGAAAGAAGATGAATGGGTCCTACTGGCCTGATGCAGGAGTTCTTTTCAGTAATATCACAATGCTGAGCAGTGTGTGCGCACAGGCCAGTTGGTGCTCTTGGCTATGAGGTTCTGTAGCTGGCAAGTTGCTTGGTAACCTGCACGTTCTATTATGTTCCATTGTGCAGCTTCAGTTACATTGGCCTGTCCAGGCTGCCTGCCAGCTCTACATTAGAGTCGAACGAAGAAGCTGTATCTGAGCATGACGTCCCCTGGCATGGCTGTTTAGAATGTACAGGATGGGTAGATGAAACATTGCAGCTCTGTGAATGGATTTCCTGTAATAGTGGGGGGTGCAGGCAGTCTTTGCTGCAGGAGGAAGGAAGGCTGTAAACAAGGTGCTGAGGAACAATACATCTGTACAAGTCTGACTATATTAAACACTGAACAGAGGCTGCCTGCTGCTTCCAGCCTTGGACAAAACACTGAATGATGCAATGCTAATACTTCTATAAATATCACACCAGTACCTCTAGCATTGTACGCAGCCTTGATCCTGTAAACGCTTTCATTTCTATTCACCAACGCAGCAAGGTGGAGATGGGAGGGGGGGTGGTGAGGGGAAGAGAGCGAGTGTGTGCGTTATTGCATTTACAATAAAGTGCCAATGGGGTGGAACTACAGCACAAGTAGAGCACTGGAGATAGAGAAACTGTAAAGTGCACCTCTGGATCACATTTCAAGACTACTGTTGCTACTGAACTCCATTTTCCCCCGGTCTGTTTAAAAAAAAAAAAAAAAAAGTCAGGCACATCATTCAAAGCAGCACTGTAACCCCATATTAAAATGAGTATTTCATAAAGATGGATTCTTTATAGAAACACTCTGACTGAAATTTCACTGAAATACAGAGACAAAGTAGGGCCTGAAGAGGTTCAGTGCGACCTACATGGCTCTGGTAAGTATTAACTGCCCCCCGCGGCCACCAGACTCCCAGCGGCAATGTCACAGTCAAGGGTCTTTGCTAATTTGACAGTCCCTCGCTGGTGACAGTGCCACATTAACCCCTTAAGGACACATGACATGTGTGACATGTCATGATTCCCTTTTATTCCAGAAGTTTGGTCCTTAAGGGGTTAAACCGTTCTATCCTGTTTGTTTCCACACACCTCACAAAACGGTTTTCCATCAATGGCAGTATTTATTCTTCATACATGTCATTTTATTAAAAACTCTTCTTGCAATTAATTTTTACTATGCATGGAAGGCATTCTACATTTTGTGTAGTTATATGCCCCTCTCTCATTGGACTGTAAACTCATTTGAGCTCAACCCTATCCACTTTTGATCCCCGTAAGTCGAACTTCCTGTGTTAACTATTTTTTATTTTAGTATTCCTATTGTTGGGTCTGGGGAGGTAATAATTAGGTCTGAGCTTCTGACAGCAGAGATCTGTAATATATCTACATTACTGCTTTGTGAGTGTGGTCCCCAATTTAATAAAAAAAACTGTGCTACTGATATTTCTGGTTAGCTGAATTCTTCAGAACATCTGTGAGGTTTTTTTTGTCTCCTATTAGTGAAAGCAGATACCTCAAATAACAGTTCTTTCCATTGCTGTACACTGTGGCGTGGACTATGTGTAAACTGATAACCGTGTGGTATGTTTGCTGTTTATGGAGTAGTTCCAATCATCTTATGTGATGAGAGGAACTACTCTTAGGAATAAGGTACTTGTCTCACAAACTTGGCAAAGCCTAGTTTGTCTGATGACCAATGACTGTTGGTTCATAAAAGAGTTAAGTGATTTACTTAACTGCAGATTGCTTCTTTCTCTAGCATGCCGTAGTGAAATGGACAAGGTGGCCGAGACCCTATCTACCATGACGTGTAGAACATTCCACAGGTGGCTGCTATGGAGGTTCTTAAATGATTTCATCCTTGCCTTCTTTCACTATATACATTTTGTAATTATCCCCTTAAACACCAATGCCTGTATGTGCTGTCATATCTAGAATGTATGTAATTCTATTCCATAATGGAATGTTCTAGCCAGGGTAAAAAAAAGGTAGATCCCCAGATATAAAACTAAAGCTTACATGATGTGTTTTCATTCTAAAGCATCATGGAAGTTGTAGTTCTACAACATCTGGGAATCTACCCATTGGTCTAAAGGAGCTAGTCTGCATGTTGCAAATTTGGAAGTAGATTGTCAAGAATAAATAAACCCCAATAACGACAGGATAAGCTATTCAAATAATAATAATAATGGCAGAGGTACAGATCAACTCTAATTACCGCAATATGGGTGGACCTAAAACCACCAAATAACTAGCTGTGGATAACAATCGGAATAACTCTGTAGAAGGAAATCACATCTTTAAAGGGACACTGTAGGCACCAAGACCACTTCAGCTAATTAAGGTGGTCTGGGTGCTGTGACCCTTTTGCACTTAGTGCTGCAATGTAAAACATTTCAGTTCCAGGGAACTGTAATGTTTACATTGCAGCTCTACGTCTGCCTCCAGTGGCTGTCTAACAAACAGCCACTAGAGGGTCTTTGGAATCTAAACGGACTTTTGGTCCGTTATCTGACGCTGGACGTCCTCAAGAACCTCCAGCGTCAGATTTTCCCCATAGGAAGGCATTGAATAATGCTTTCCTATGGAGAGTTCTAATGCGCGCACCGCGCAGTAGGTCTCTCCCACCGGCGTCAGCGTGGGCGGAGCCTGACCCAGCGCTGAGGGACATTGGCGCTGGATTCAGGAAAGTGGCTGAAGGGGTTTTAACACACCTTATAACGCCCGGAAAATGGCTTTGTTTTCCTGGCACTATAGGATCCATTTAATATCTAGAGACATGAAAGTGAACGTCATAGACTAATTACAGCTGGCTGCTCATACTCTAATAATAACTGCAGATTTGTAAACCATGTCTAACGATGGACACAGTACCTTAAAAATAAATTCAAAGGTGGAAACGGTGCCTCTGTAATTCTTATTAAGGCAGAGTTTCCATCTAAAACTATAACTTCTAAATGGTAATTGTGTACCTATTCTAATGTGATTGTAATATAAATGTAAAGTATTTAACAAAGATAGGTACAATTAGCTAGGTTTCAAGTACGTGGATCTGACAGTTATTACCCAACTCTGTTATACTGATTTTTATTGACCTCCAAATGATGAAAGTCTGAGTTGAACTAGCTACATTTGAGATACTGCAGATAGTTTAATACACTAAGCTGTTTTACCAGATAAGTTACATTTTATGTAAACCCTTCACAACTTTGACAAGCTTTCAGATATACATTCAAATTATTTTTTATTTCACTAGAGACTTCTAAATGGCATTATGTACTATCTAGATCCATTGTACACAATGTTGTATAAAGAGTGTATGCTTGTTCAAACATTATTTTTGGAGTTAAGAACAGTCAGCTGACACACTGTTAAATGTCAATTTCTGCACACTGCAAGGCAAAGGATTCTGTTCCGTGCACATATATTTAATTTCACATTTGTGTATGTTAAATGTGTACAAAACTAATGTATTTATTATGTAGGACTTAAGTTTAGAATATTTATTGCAGACATGTTATTATTAATAAGTACTGTCATCCAGAACTGCATACATACCAAAAATCAAAGAAGCACTTTCAAAATTGTACAAAAGTCTATGACTTATTCCAATTAACAGGGCATATCATAAATAGTGTTGTTATCCTTGTCTGAATAAGTGAGGTGGACAACCCTGTTCTACAACATGAAAACACTTGAATCTTGTGCTAATCTGGAATTCACATGGTTAAAGAGACTTTGCAAATTCAGGAATTTAAGAAATATTCTATTCAGAGCAGAATTTTACTCCGGCTTAGACTTGGATTTGGATTTTGACTTCGGACTGGATCTTCGACCACAGCATCTTCGGAAGACCATGCAGGAACACTTCAGGCTAATGAATAGTGTAGTGATTATCACAAGGAGGAGGAATCCAATGACATCTAGGGAGTGGTATTGAAAAAAGTTCAAATCATGAGCTGCAGGGCGCAAGTGTGGTGCTCCTTTGTGTCTCATAACAAACTCCACCCAGTACACAGCAAGGTCCAAAGGATGGATTGGTCTGTCTAGGTGCAGAGCAGACAGACGCTCAATATTCTTCTTGTAACTGAGTGATGGAAAAATCGAAAGTTAACTTAGACGTTGCATAATTAAATGTTTATATTTAAATCAAGTCCAAAATGATTATCCTTTTATCCCCCCGTTCTCACCCATTTAAACAAATAATCTAGAATAGAAGTAGACATAGTTGGGTGTTGTGTACAAACATTTTAGTCATGGGTAGAAGTCTACATCAGTGGTTCCCAAACCAGTTTCATGGCCCACTAACAATTTAGGAGTTAAGTATTTCCATTTTTTAATTCTAATCCTGATACTGACAAAACTTGGACTGTTGGTGGGTCATGAGGACTCATTGGGAACCACTGGTCTAGATAATGTGTGGCCCGAGAGCATATGTTACATCATTGCTTTTCACAAACCTTGGGTTTTCAATGACATTCTTTAAGGCATTGCTCAAGTCTTCTGATGTCATATCCAAAACGTTGAGTGTCACTCCTGCACCACGTGACTCAATCCTTACTGCATTATCCATTTGGTCACCAAATAATGGCAGCATGACCACAGGGACTGCATTGCAGATAGCCTCGTAGATTCCATGTGATCCTGCATGAGTGATGAAGGCACGAGCCTTGGGATGAGCTAAAACAACAGACAGATGTAGCATAAGATAGAAGTAAATCTTAAAGTAGAACTGTCACTTCCGCTCACCATATTAATTAATATGTGGGCGGTTCAACTTAATTTGCATGGTATGCCCTGGCACTGTCAAAAACACTTCAGCTTGGTCTGTAGTACAATACAATAACCTGAGAAACGTGGACAAGCTATTGCATGGACAGGTATTGCTACGTATTTAGAAATCCCAATAAAATGAAGCCATAAATCTGCAGGAATATATGAAACAAATCATACAAAAGTAAGCATCAGTCGTGTTGCAGCATAATGACTGAGTTATATTGTAGTTGAATTGACCTACAAAGTATTTACTATAAGAGTTACTGGGAGGGGGCTTTCGAAGCTGAAGCTCCGGTCGTAGGATTGCTTAGCACCAGAGCTCTGTAGTTGGTGGAGGAGTATAGCTGGGTTTTTTTAAATTATGTTCAGACATCTGCTTCTCAAAGCAGCTGCCTATTATAATAAGAAAGATCAGTAATATGTTGCTTCTTTTATGGGCAATTGGGTATAACATTTTTCATTTGTGTATGTTGAATGAGTGTAATAACATCTTAATATATAACATGGTATAACTGGGTTAATTTGAACTTGAATTGTATTAGCTTTCTGTAATTGTCCTTTCTATGTAAGCTGAACACTTTCACATACTTGTACTTATGACGCATATAAACACTTGCAATTAGTTTAGAGAATACAAGGTCAGTCAGGTCTGACAATCTTCTCTCATTGTCTGAGAGTGTGAATTGTCTTGTATTAAAACTTTTATTTCTGAATTTTCTAAATGCCCTTTTGTGAAAATATTGCAATGTAGTTGCTTATTCTAGTTTTATAACAAAATATTACGATTAACCTACATATAAAACACTGAAGGTTAATACGTTTTTTTAGTAATAATTTCTCTCCAACACATTTGTAAGAGGATCGGTGGTGCCCCCACATGGCTGTTGGGATGGGGTACTTGGGAACAGAACTTTTATGCATACCTCTCTACAAGGTAGGTAGTGTGGCGGGCTTGTATTGAATACCTAGCTGTGGAGCATCGACTTCTTTCTGGGCTATGTGTTCATTAAGGTCCTGGAGAGCACTGCATGACTGTTCGTG